TGGTGTAGGCACTTGCCCATTAGGAACTAGACTGAAACCACCAGCACATTTCACACAGGCCACAGAAGAACCACTTACTGACAAAGCAAATATAGTAAATCTGCTTTCACTCTAAATAGAAAAGCACAATTATCTATTTGTAGGGGTTAAAGGATGATAAATGTAGTAATAAAGGAAAAAATGCCCTGAGAAAGACAGGTAAAAGTATTAAAGCCAGTTTTTTAAATAAGTAAATATGACTGGAGTAAAAAAAAAAAAAATCTTAGACTTAAGTCATCCTTTCTGTGTCCCATATTTTTCCTTTCTTTGTAAAAGCCCATGGAAGGGAGAATATGAACTGAAAATCCATGTGAACTGAAAATCCATGTGAACTGAAAATCTATTGTGTCATATATAAACAATGAGAAGTCCTGTGGCACCTTATAGACTAACAGATTTATTGGAGCATAAGCTTTCATGGGCAAAGACTCACTCCTGCCCTGAATCCTGCATCCCCCACCGTGAGTCCTGCACTCCTCCACCCCCTACACTGAGGCCCCCCCGCCCAATGATCCAAGCAACATCGGGTAAATCCTCTAGTCCTTTCATAAGGAATAGCTATTTGACTAGTGTGCATTTTCATTAAAAATCATACAATATCATAGTAACTTGATTATTTTAACATGTATAGTTAACAAGCAAATAACTGACAGAGATTTTAATTTTAAAAAGAATCCAACAATTTCATGGGAAAACTTAATACAGCAATTTTTTTGGACAGCACTATTTCCTCTTAGCAGGGATGGATGTATAAAATCCACTAGAAAACTATTTGTTTTATGATCCTCTGAGATTTGTCTGGAAAAGGAAGTGGCTTTGGTTGCTATGAAGTAAAAACATTCTTGATTTGTTTTTGGTGAACATCTGTGTAACGTTTATTTCTTTACATTTTGGAGATTTCTAACTCATAATTTGATGACAATGTAAGATTTAATTAAAAGAAAATAAAGTACTATATAGTTTTTTCTCCAGTTGCATTACCTATGGGTATCTACTTATAGGTAGATATCTTTTTTTTAAAAACAATTTTAAGCAGACAACTCTTCTGATTTTAAAATTAGCATTTAAAAAGGTGATCCTTTAGTTATGTAGACAGTAAAATATCATTTTTCAGAAAACAAGCATCTATTCTACTCTTGTGTTATGATGCCAGTTTGATCATTTTTTTGTCTGGTCATTCCTCGTCCTCTTAAAGCTCAATAGGAACTCACTGAATGAGAATTTGGTGTGTGGAAAAATTGCAGAACTGGTTCTGTAAGCTCCTCTGAAATGGGATAAGAATCTTGAAGAAGACTCCAGCTTAGTCTTTGTTGACCTGACAAGAGCGTTGGAGTCTCCTCAGAAGTGGAGGATTTGGAGGCTTCATCTCTATCCATTGTCTTTCCCCTTGTTTCCAGCCAAGCAAGAAGAGGCACCGGGGAGTCTGCCCACCTGCCTGGCATGAAGTGTGCCTGAAAACCGCCCTCCTGCCTGTGTCCCCACCAGTCCAGTCACCCCTCCAGGGCATGTGGAGGGACTCACTCCCCAAAATTGCCTGTGTGGCTCTCCCCATCCTGGCACTGGCTGGGAAGAGGAGGGGCAGCTTGGATCCAAAGCTCAGCTACAGTAAGAGCCACCTGGGTCTGGGGAGCTGCAGTGGACCCTCAACCTGCCCATGGTGCAGAGGGGGAGGCTGTCTGAGGAGAATATCCCCTGGCTCGTATCCCTTCTTTCCAAGGCTGGTGGAGTATCTGTGCTGTGGCTCCCTACATTGCTGGCAAGACTGTTGCTGTGGCTCCAAGGCCACCCCACCCCGGCTGGAGCTGGGTTGGGATGATCCGTGCGGGTTGCTGTTGGGGAAGTGGTGCAGAATCACAGACAATGCTTTCTTTTTTTCCAACTCCTGAGCAGAATGTTAACATCTAGTAAAGTTCATGAAGCAGGAGTGGGGTCAAGGGGTTCTGAATGTGGGAGGGGGCTCAGGCATGGGGCAAAAGGCACAGGGGTGTGAAGGCTCTGGTTGGGGGTGAGGTCTTGAGGATGAGAAGCTCTATGCTGGGAGAGAGGATTGGGGTGCAAGGTCTCTGGGGAAGAAAGGTTTGGGGTACAGGAGGGGACTTCAGGGTGGGGTTGACAGATTTGGAATACGGGGGAGGCTGTGGGTTGGGGTGGCAATGGTCCAGGGATGAAGGGCTTGGGATGCAAGAGGGAGCTCCAAATTTGAGGAAAGGCTGTGAGTTGGGGTGCAGGAAGGGGTACAGGCTCTGAGCTGGAGTTTGAGGTGTAGGAGAAGGTACAGGCTCTGGACTGGGGGTGTGGGTTTTGTGGTCAAGCTGGGGAAGAGGGGTTTGGAGCTGCAAGAGGTGGCTCCGGGTTGGGTCTTGGGCTTTCCTGGGTGGTTCCTGCTCAGCGGCACTAAGGAGGCTGCCTGGTGCCTGCTTGTCCTGGGGTATCACGCTGAGCCCTAGAAGCAGTTAACAAGTCTGGCTTCTGGGGGTGGGCGGCATGAGGTTCTGTGGTGCAGGACCATGGGGCTCCACTCTGCCTAATAGGAGCTGGACCTGTTGTGTTGGCCACTTCTCACCTGTCCCAGCACAGAGCTGCCCTCTTTGGGGGAGAGTGGCCCCTCCCTGCTAGCCCCAGCACAGGGCTGCCACAGCCCAGGGCAGCTCCTCACTGGGGCTGGCAGGGAGAAGAGCTTCTCCACTGGCCAGGGCAGCTTCGGGGCTTGGGGAGGGGGCATCTCTCTTCACTGTAGCCCTGAGTCCCCGTATCAGGCTTAAAGGGAAGCCATGCAACCACACAGCTTAGCACAGTGGCTTTCAAACTTTTTTTCTTGCAACCCACTTGAAGAATTGTTGATGTCTGTGACCCAACATAATTCTATCTTTTGACTAGCATGCAGGTTCACTGGCTTAGGAGGAACTTAGGTCACAGATCCTCACCTGTCCTGGGCTGGAGAGCCTGGGAGGAGGAGACCTAGACTAGGGGCTGCTCTCTGACCCAGAATAGCCGACAGAGCTGGGCCTCGTGTGTCAGTGTCAGTGTCAGCTCTGTACTCCTGGAAGAGACAGGATTATAGGGGTGGGGCCGAGGCAGCCAATCCTCAGCACCACCTGGAATGTGCTGAATGCCCACCAGCCAGCCTTTAGCACAGGGGTAGGCAATAATTTTTGAAGGGGGGGGGCACTTCACAAATTTTGGAAATGGCTGGGGGCCTCAGGCGGAAGGGATGGGACCTCAGGCGGAAGGGGCGGGGTTGGGATCTATCCTGCTGAGAGCTTTGCTTGGCCTGTGGTCCCTGCTCCCTGACTTCTGGCCAATGGAAGGGACCTGGAACAGATGGAAGGGTGCTGAGGGCTAGCCTCCTCCCAGAGTTGTCTGGGGTGGGGGCTTAGAATTCACATAACATGGCTGCCATCTCCTAGCCCCTCTGCTAATTTGTTGCCTGGCAGCCGCCCAGCCAGGCAACTCCTAGGCAACAGGCCAGCGGGACCGAGAGCTGCGAGCCCTTTCAATTCCTTCTATTTAAAGAGCTTGTGCCTGCCAGGTGGCTGTCAGGCAACACAGCTACCCAGCAGGAACGAGCCCTTTAAATAGAAGCAGTTAAAAGGGCTTGTGTATCCTAGCTCCCTAGCAACGCAGTAGAGGTGCAGGGAGCTGCAAGCCCTTGAAATTGCTGGTAATTAAAGGGCTCGCACCTTCCCTGCGCCTGTTGGGCAACACATTGCCTAGCAGCCATGGGGAAGGCGTGAGCCCATTAAATAGAAGCAGTTGAAAGGGCTCGTGTGTCTCCAGCTCTCTAGCAACATGATAGAGATTCTGAGAACTGTGAGCCCTTTTAACTGTTTCTATTTAAAGGGTTCTTATGTTCCCTGCGGGTGCCAGGGGATCAGGGATGTGAAGGGTTAACCCGTAAGCCTCACACTTAATGGGTGAGACTTACCAGTTAAGCTTAACAGGTGAGGGGGGGCTGCCATGGACAGGAGCTGCTCCAACCAAACTGAAGCAGCCCCTGCCTGTGGGACATCTTGGCCTGCCACAGGCAGGAGCTGCTCCATCCTGGCTGGTGCAGCTCCTGGCTGCACCAGGGTTTGAGGTGGGATGCTTCAGCTCAGTGTCTGCTGGAAACATCTAAGACCAAGTCTACACTGGCAAGTTACTGTGTAGTAAATCAGCCCCTGGCACTGTAACTTTTGAGGTGACCACACTAGGGATGTTAAATTTAGTTTAATCAACTAATCGACTAGTTGATAAGCAAGGGAGCCACAGTGTGGTTAGCTCCCGGCCCCAGGAGCTAACCCCGCTGTGGCTCTTCTTTTTAAATGTATTAAGGTCCTGCTGGCTCTTAATACATTTAAAAAAGCAGAGGCCCTGTGTCTGGGACTGGGCGCAAGCTGGGATCAGCTGATTCCCAGCTCTTGCCTGGTCCCTGCTACTACCCTGCCTCCCCATGGAGACGGTGCTGGGGGGAACCAGTATTTAAACTGGCATCCCCCAGCACTAGGTCCCACGGCCCCCCCTTGCTGCCTCTATTAGAGGCAGTAAGTGGGGGGGAAGCAAATAGTCGAGGGACTAGTTGACTATCCAATAAGCTTTTGCTTATTGGATAGTTGACTAGTCACTTACATCTCTAGACCACAGAGGCAAGGCACTTAGTGTGCGCTAGCTCCGCAGTTAGTGCACTGTAGGTAAACCACCTCCATGAGAAGCATAGAGCTTGCTGTGCTCTGGATACAGTGCTAGGAGGCCACTGTACTACCCTGCCTCCCCATGGAGACGGTGCTGGGGGGAACCAGTATTTAAACTGGCATCCCCCAGCACTAGGTCCCACGGCCCCCCCTTGCTGCCTCTATTAGAGGCAGTAAGTGGGGGGGAAGCAAATAGTCGAGGGACTAGTTGACTATCCAATAAGCTTTTGCTTATTGGATAGTTGACTAGTCACTTACATCTCTAGACCACAGAGGCAAGGCACTTAGTGTGCGCTAGCTCCGCAGTTAGTGCACTGTAGGTAAACCACCTCCATGAGAAGCATAGAGCTTGCTGTGCTCTGGATACAGTGCTAGGAGGCCACTGTGGACACTGTGGTGTAGTACTGCATCGTGAATGGCTTCCACCATCCTTCCCACAATGTCTGTTCTTGTGAGGGACTCCAAAAAGATCTCACCAAACTGAGTGATTGGGCAACAAAATGGCAAATTAAATTTAATGTCGATAAGTGTAAAGTAATGCACATAGGGAAAAATAACCCCAACTATACGTACAATATGATGGGGGGCTAATTTGGCTATGACAAATCAGGAAAGAGATCTTGGAGTTATTGTGGATAGTTCTCTGAAAACTTCCACACAGTGTGCAGCGGCAGTCAAAAAGGCAAATAGGATGCTAGGAATTATTAAGAAAGGGATAGAAAATAAGACACAGAATATCTTACTGTCCCTGTATAAAACTATGGTACGCCCACATCTTGAATACTCTGTACAGATGTGGTCTCCTCACCTCAGAAAAGATATTTTGGCTTTGGAAAGGGTTCAGAAATGGGCAACTAAAATGATTAGGGGTTTGGAACGGGTCCCATATGAAGAGAGGTTAAAACGACTGGGACTTTTCAGTTTAGAAAAAAGGAGACTGAGGGGGGATATGATAGAGGTCTATAAAATCATAAGTGGTGTGGAGAGGGCGAATAAAGAAAAGTTATTCATTAGTTCCCATAATAGAAGAACTAGAGGACACCAGATGAAGTTAATGGGTAGCAGGTTTAAAACTAATAAAAGAAAGTTCTTCACACAGTGTGTAGTCAACTTGTGGAACTCTTTGCCAGAGGAGGCTGTGAAATCTAAGACTATAAAAGAGTTTAAAGAGAAGCTAGATAATTTCATGGAGGTTAGGTCCATAAAAGGCTATTAGCCAGGGGATAAAATGGTGTCCTTGGCCTCTGTTTGTCAGAGGCTGGAGAAGGATGGCAGGAGACACATTGCTTGATCATTGTCTTTGGTCCACCCTCTATGGGGCACCTGGTGTTGGTCACTGTCGGCAGACAGGCTTCTGGGCTAGATGGACCTTTGGTCTGACCCAGTACGGCCATTCTTACGTTCTTATGTACGTGCCTAGCAGGCTCTTACTGCATTTAAAAGTCAGAGTTGCACCGTCCCAGAGCTGACTGCTGTAGCTCTGCCTTCCCTGCCCCGTTCCTGCACTGCGGAGACAGTGCTTGGGGGACCTGGGTTTTAAGCTGGCTCCCCCCAGTACTGGCTCCTGCTACCCCCTGATTGCTGCCTCTATATCAGATGCAGCCAGCAGGGGCTAAGGGGAAAATGTGAGTACTCGACTCTACTACCCAATAAGCCTAGGATTATTGGGTAGTCAGCTATTCAACTACCCTTTTACATCCCTCTTTTACATCCCTAGCCTTGACAGAGCTGACCTTGGAATACCTGTCTGAGGCCCTAATGCCTGCTGAGAGGTTCTAAAAGGTCATAAAGCACCCTTGAAGGACTAGAGAGGAGTTTTTGTGTAACTCCTAAGTCATGCTCCACCAAACACAAAGAATTGAAGGAGTGAAGGGACAGTGAGAGGAGGAAATGTAAGGAAAACACAGAGTGGCTCTTAAAGATTATGGAGCTCAC